CCTCCTTTTGATCCCCCTCTCGTCAATGCAGCAGCTGCTCTAGGAAAGCTCTTCTTCCGCGCCGCGAAAAAAAGCCAGAATAGAACTTGGGCGCCCCACAGCGGGCCTGAGGCGAAGTTGCTCGAAGAAACCGAGCGACGGAGCCCTCGGAGGGGAGGAGGGGGCCAGAGCAAAGCAAAGGAAAGCAAAGCAAGGCGACCCTCCTAGCGCCCCTTGTCCGTTGCGAAAATAAAAGAGGGCGCTTTGGCTTCCATACTCGCCTTGGAAGACGAGTTCGCGGATGCCTGACGCCAGTTTGGTGGGGCAGAAAGGCTAAAAGGCAAAGAAGGGGGAGCGGGAGAAGAGCGTCTCCTTCTCTCCAGATTCTCTGCCTATTTCTGGCTTTGGTTCACAGCTGGAAGAAAGTTGGGTTCTGAGGGGAAATAGCCTCCATAGATCGGGGGAACAGAAAGGTAGTTCTGTCTCTGTGCACCAGGCTGAACCTGTAGTTTTCTTAGCCCACAATTAAAACCATTTTATGCCTCCCATGTCCCTTTTTAGAGGGTCCTGCCACAGCAACAAAGTGGGGGGGGGGCAGGAAACAGAGCTTCACCACCCCACTTCAGGTCGGGGAGCTCTTTTCTTTTTGCATTGCCTGACATCTGTAACTCAAATCGTGTGTATGAGCTCTAATAGAGGAAAGCAACCTGATGGCTTCCAGATGTTTTCGCTCCCATCAGACTTTGCCCACCTGACCCATGACAAAAAGCTATACTTCAAAACATTTAGAGAGCACCAAATTGCTGATTCCTGGGCTGGAGCAGAATGCCTGTTTGTTCTGTTCTGAACAGACTCCATGTTAACCAAGTGTTTGTATTTGTGCCTGAGCAGCATGAAAAAGAGAAGGTTAAATGTTCTTCTACTGTCTCAGGTGTCACTGTCCTTGGAAGGAAGATCTGAAGGATTATGTCAGTGATTACACAGCAGTCCAGCTGAAGATGAGCTTTGGGTAGTGGAGTGACTCTAGTTACTGAAAAAGGAGTGACTTCAGAATTAGAATTTCACAACTGCAACAGGGAAGTTGCTAGAGGCTTGAGATTAATCCTCAGGGGCCTCCTGTCTCTGGACATGTCTGCGTTTGTTCCTTTCGTTGTCGTGTCTAGCTGTGAGAGTTTTGTCTTCCAGGCATGTTGGATCTGCCTTGAAAGCCATCTCAGCTAGCAGCTAGTGCTACATCTTGTGCAGCAGAGGATTGTGCTGTGTGTGGCTTGTGCATTTTGGGAAGAAAGAGAGATAGGGACTCCCTACAGTAGGAGGGAAAAGGCAACTCAACTTCTTTTCTAAAGCACTTCTATCATTTCTTTTACTAAATAATTCCCAGAACAATGCCCCGACACAAATTAAATTATGGTGGCTTTGGCAGCATATGTCCGGACATTTTTACCAGCTGTCTTAAGGTTCCAGCCTGGTGTTCACTTTTTCCTGGGACTGAGTCTCACTGAACGTGGGAAGCCTTGCCTTAGAGAGAACATGCACAGGAGCACATAACAGAGCTGTCGGTTTTATGACTCTGTGCATCAATGACAAGGAGATAACCTCACAATCCTGCCTCCACAACATTTATCCCTTTGCAAGAGCACTCCTCAGTACATTAACAATGCCTACAGTGATGGGTAAGGATTAGCGACTCTGGAAATCTCACGTTAAAATTACAGGGCGTGATGCTCACGTTGTATAAGAAGCCAAAGTTGTCACTGCACTCCTGCTCATGTCCAGGATGCATTCATAAAAGTCCTATTGACTTATGTAAATTTAAGTATTTTATGATCCACTCCTCGAGCAATTTTGTGATTAGTTTCTATATTTCCTATGCCAATCTGTTTACACCAAAGTGTACTCACAAGGGCTAAATGTGTTGATGGCCTACAGAGGCAGTTCAGTTGTGAGAGCCATGCTTATAGTGTGTGCAGCACAGGTAACGGAAGGTACATTTGTAGCACGGGGCTTTTTTCCTGGGATTAAATGGACAGGCATATGATACCTTTAAATCTTGCCTATTTGCAGAGGAGATTAAATTAGCATGAAGGAGGCTGCTGTAGGATTCTCCTTATCTCACTGTTATCTTGATCAGGCAATTTGTTCTCAGGTACCACACCAGGAATGAGAAAAATTGTTCTGCATGGTATTGTACAAGTGCACAGATCTTTGCTGAATAAGATGGGTGTATCTGCCGTCCAGAGGACCAAGTGCTGATGCTGAGTTATTTCTGATGCACCATAAACATACTGGAGCCTTGGCATGCTCTGTAGGTCTTCCCTTCCCTGTCAGCCTCTAGATGTTTTCATGAACATTTATAACTTCTGTTATTCTAGTTGAACCGGCTCGTTCTGTAATGATAGCTGCATATAAAAACTGGGGATCAATGGACTGATGTGCTTGAAACAATTAATTCATGTCTCTAAACAATAAGCCATGTGGGGATGTTTGCTATAGTTTTTCCTCCCTTTTTACACCTTTGAATCCTGTCTGATCCTCATCCATCAGTAGAAGTGTGTCTCTATCTTTCTGGGTACAATTTACAGTATATAACATGTTCATGGTCCTTTGGCATATAGCAACAATAATCTGAATGCTTTAGGCAGGTTAATAGAAATAGTGGATGTCTGTGTTTCAGGTTAAACAAGAATGTTCAAGTGGCAAACCCCTATATGCTAGGGATGAAATATTGCCCAATTTATTTTTAATTTTTTAAAATTCTTCTGGGCATTTTGTTGATGTCCTCTTTGTTCTGTTGGTGATGTTTGTGTTTTTTCTAATTCCATGATGTGTGTGTTTTTTTTCCAATTCCATGATCCCTGAAATGGGATAGCTTTCATAATGTTCAGTGCAATTCAAAAAGGAATAGTAGTAACATAATATTAGAAATTACATCTCCCAGATCCCTTCAACAAAGGCTACAGATAGATATAGATACAGATTTACATCTGAAACAATTTCAAGTTTTTGAAAACAAACTTTACTAGAAATTGAACCAATCCTCTCATTTTCAAGTAGTATAGCACTGATAATTTCTTTGTGTTATGACAAAGAGCCATGCTAAGAATAAAGTTTACAGGTGGACAGATAAGCAGGTATCCAAAAAACTTAGGACTTAGACCTGGCAGTTATAATATCTATTAAGTATAAGTATGATGAACATACTAACAAATGCTGCAAAGTAGTTTTCCTATACATTATTCTTTGTTCATACACATATGAATATATTCAAACACAAACTTCTGGGAAGGGAGAACTAAATTTTTAAGGTGATATGAGTCCCTCTTCTGTAGGGAAAAAAACCCATACATCTTTACAAGGTTTGCCATTCCCAGGGAGATAAAACAGCAATAGATTTAAGCACAGACTTCAGTCCATCTAAGATTTGTATATCTTTGACAGTCTTTTCATGGAAGCATACTTTTTCTGACTTTAACTAGTTCCTTTAGGTGATTTGCAAAATATCCCAACATGCAGCCCTGGGAAGTTATTCATATGCTTCTAAACTATAAAAGAAGAAGTATTCTGTGCCAGCAACTGCATGACCTGATATTTCAGGAAAGCCTTTACTTGCAATTCAAGGTTTTTGTTTTTCAGGTTTCGTGATGTCCATGAATGCTTTGGGCATCTAGTATATAAATATTATTGTATAAATGCTATTTATCAATGCCCTCATACATATTTAAATGACTACGTACACACATTTTATGCATACCCAGAAACTATGGGATCATAATATATTATGGCCATTAGGAAAACAGTATATTTTATTTTATTTTATTTATTTTTATTTTATTTTATTTATGCTTATATTGTTCTGTGATCTCCCACATACATTGCAGATGCTATATAGACTTCAGTCTCTGCCGTCTAAGATATAGAAGTTCAAATTCTGCAACTAGAGAAATTATTATTGTTATTATTATTATTGCTATTATTTTGATTTCTGTGCCACCTCTCCATATCAACAGGCTCAGAATGGCACACACCACAGATACCTAGCAAAGCCTAGAGGTAATTGCAGCAGCTCTGATTTCATGGGCTTTAAATGTAGGATCACAGCCTTCAGAGAGCTACTTCATGTGGATGGTTGCATTCCTAGCCAGCTGGCAAGTCTGTCTGTGGTATGTTGTTCTCTTGGTGGGGGAATACCATTTTGCTTTTTGCCCCTTCTTTTCTTTTTTGAAGCCCTTTCCCAAGTCTACTCTTTGTTGGAACTTCTTTGGCAGCATATGAAGGTTCAGAGGCAGCATGTGTTTCTTCCTTCTTATTACAGGAACAAGACTGGGGAGATGCTCTTCCCCTCTCTTCAAACCACCCCCTGACAACGTTGCTTCAAAGCTGCCTTTAATTACGGAACCACTGGCTTGATAGTCGGCTAGAAGATCGCGGCCTTTCCTTCGCAAGGCATCTAAATTCAACATGTTCCCTAGCTATTCCATGGGCTCTAATGGGCATTTTTATTTTTATTTATTATTATTATTAATATTGTTATTATTATTATGTTTGGGGGGGCTTCAGATGACGTGCTTTCCTTGCTCTGCTTTTTGCCCCTTCTTTTCTTTTTTGAAGCCCTATCACAGCCTTCAGAGAGCTACTTCATGTGGATGGTTGCATTCCTAGCCAGCTTTCCTTCGCAAGGCATCTAAATTCAACATGTTCCCTAGCTATTCCATGGGCTCTAATGGGCATTTTTATTTTTATTTATTATTATTATTAATATTGTTATTATTATTATGTTTGGGGGGGCTTCAGATGACGTGCTTTCCTTGCTCACCACGTCATGTTTTTTAATCTATCCCTGCCTTTGATTATTGCTACTGCTGCTGGTGGTGATAATACAGTTTTCTTCATGGAGTCTATTGTTCCTGCTTAAGACACAGTCAGAAGAAAGCTAATCATTTGCAGGATTGCTCTTCTTTTTGCCTTTTCTTTTCTAAAGCTCCTCCACTAAGAACTTTGCCTCACAAATTGGAACAATTTTAAATGTGCAAAACCAACACCTTAAGAAATCTTTGGCAGAGAACAGCGCTACCTACCAGCAAATGCCTAAATCATGAAATATATTACATTACAATATGTTTACTTGAACAATCACATTTTGGGTGACACCTAGACAAGAAAAGCTTATCATCATGCTTCAAACCATTTTGACTCCCACCTCGCTAAATTCAGTGGGGTATTCAAGAGTAATTGCTCGAAAGATGCAGTTCTTTTCATTCTTCAAGTTTTGGGTTTTGTTTTTTTTTTTGGTTTGTTTGTTTGTTTGTTTATGACCACACAGGTCATTTGGAGCTTTATGTGTGCAAAATTATAATTTATTGCCTGGTTGCTGTGACAAGAGGCAGGTGTCCATTTGTCACCAATCCAGAGAGGTAATTCACTAGAAGCTAACTGTGGTTCTACCTGCAGCTGAGGATAGATGACAATTCCTTAAGGGGCACATCTCCATAGAAATGTATGGTATGCTCTGAAACTGCTCTTGATGAACTAGTGTAAGTTTTCCAAACAGTATCATCTGTCCTGCAGGAGGTGTCAGAAAATGTGAAATGTATAAAGACAAAATAGGTGAAGATTTTTGGGACCCTAATTTGAACTTCAAAAATTGTCCAATAAAAAAAAAACCTGTCATGTTACCTTTTGATTCACTTATTTTAGTATGGATCAGTGTTCCACCATGCACATGTGAAAGGGAATCTTTTGAAGCTACAGAGGCAGACATGGGTGTCAGTCTCCATTTTCCCAAATGATCTTCCCCTAGAAAGAAGACACAGACGACAAGGAGATAACATTATGCATGGTGGGTTTGTTCACATATATGACCAATATAAAAGTTAGCTCCCCTGTATGTAGTGGTGCCACATGGACAAAAGCTTGTTTATGGCCTCGGTATAGAGTAGTTAGAATCTTTTGGCTCTTGCCTTACTACAGTTGTTACATCTCAAGTCTGAATGGGGTAGGTAATTCTGTAGCAAGGTTGGAGAACCTGCTAAAGAATTTCCTTTCTCTGGTCTATAGTACAGTTGGCCCAAGATCTTTCCATACCTTCTATTTGAAACCAGTCATACAAAAATCCCTACATGTAAGCCAAGCAGCTGGAACAAGAACCTTTTCACAAGTGAGCATTCTTCTCCTACCCATTAGGACATTTCCTGCCAAAAGGGGTCTTTTCTCTTGATTCACCTAGAACCTGAGGCTTAGTGCTATATTATCTATACATGTAGCGCCTTCCCTTCCCAGCTTAGAAGTGACACCACAGTAGGCAATTTCATCACTCATGTTTCGATTGCTTTAGAACACTCCAGGTCCCTGCATACTTGAAGATGAAAGAGGAGCAACAAGAAGCATCTTTTCAAGCACAATAGCAATGCAGCCCAAATCTTTCCCAGCTAAGGGGTGGAAATATGGTTGGTCTTCAATGTCCCTGCATTCACTATGTGCTATCAAGAACTTGTTCTTTCAGGAAATACCTGAAAGGATGATTCTTTTCTTTTCCTTTTCTTTTTCCCCAAGTCAATAAAAAGTTCAATGGCAAATGTTGTGTATTTCTTATTATATGTATTGCAATCACCCATACATTCACATAGATGGAGAAGATTTACGGGTCTGCATTAAAAGGCTCAGCTCTATAAAAGAAAACCTTCAAATCATGAAGCCATGATATATTATGATAGTAGAAAAAAATGCAAAGATGATAGGATCCCTTTCTGGTTATGTTATTCTGTGATGCTCCTGGGCTATAGATGGACTCTCAAGAGATAAAGGTAAGACTCCCTTCCTCCCTCCCTCTGATGACTTTGTGCACTTTTCTTGGCTACAGTATGACATGGTTGCCCTTGGCCTTCTTCAGGTTGCTTTTTCAAAGACCCCGGTTACTTGGCTGCCCTGGGATTTCCTGGTGATTTCCATCCAAGTACTAGTCAAGTTGGACCCTGCTTAGTCTTCTTCAATATTAACCAAGGTGGTTGACATTGTGTGACACACAGAATTAATAATCTTGCCCTTAAACATGTCTAAAACATACAGATTGGAATTCTGCAACTGGAATCTGAAATGCCCAAGTTACATTTAATTGTGCTAATTAGAATATTATGATCGCCACTGACCATGTGAAAAGTAATACAGCAAAACATCTCCTCCCATCAAACCTTAGAACAATGTTTCTCAACCTTGACCATTTTAAGATGGCTAGGGAATTCTGGGAGTTGAAGTCCACACATCTTAAAATGATCAAGGTTGAGAAAGACTGCTCTAGAAGATAATAAACAGGTTAAATATCCCCAGTTTTTATAAGTTAGTTCCACAGGAGTTGTTTTTGGCATTACTCTCTTGGCATTTAGAAAATGTGTAAAACACTTCTCTTTTGCCAGGTTTTAAATGGTTAATTAATATTAGTGTCTATTTTAGTGCTACTTATAATGTGCTTTTTCTATTTTTTATATCCCTTTTTTTTTTTAACGTTCACTGCCTCCTTGCATACTTTCCAGAATGGAAAGGCAGGATATAAATCCAGTGAATAAAGCCTGTTAACATGTGTCAGGTTTCAAAATCAATCAATCAATCAATTAATCAATCAATCAATCTCCAGCTGTAAAAACAATGCGCTCAAAAAAAGCCTAAAAAAAGAAAAAAGGAGAAAAAGCTCGAGGTGCCCCCTTTGGCACAACAGGTAGGTAGGAGGGCCTAAAATATTATAAAGCTTCCTTTCCATGGGGCAGAAAACCCCCCCCCCCCCCCTTTTGAGGTAGGAAGAAT